CCTGCATATTGTAATGAAGGGAAGTGTTCTGAAATCTTATTGATAAAATTTCAAAAAACGTACGCACAACACGGGGAAGTTGTCGGGTCACTAAAATATTCCTATTCACAAACACACACACATGTTGGTTCACGATGTGCAGAAGTCTATAACAATGAAATCTGCAGAAGACAACACCGTGAACCGCAACATTCGGGGGAGGCTGGCGGCTGTCAACGATAGTTTGCGCTGTCTCGACGAATCTATGGAGGCAATTGCTGCAAGTGTGCGTGATGTCGATGCCGCTCTCGCTCGACTGTGAAACGCTGACACCTATAAAAAAAATGACGAAAACAAAGCGAGATCCCTTGCTCTCGTCTTCCGGTTTCATGGAGCGCGTGCGAGCTCGTAGGCCGAACTACAAAGGGATAATGATATACGACCATGAGTACGGGAAGGGTTTGTCACGCGATGTGAACAACGGCCGGAAAGACAAAGAAATCGAGTCAGCAAAGGATATCGAAAAAAATAAAGCAGGGAATTGCAGTACATCTGGAAAGCCACCACAACCCAAATGCATTTGGAATTGCAGGAAAAAAAAAGGCAGAGAGTTGCTAAAGGGACATGAATGCTTCGAGTGCAAACGTTTTCCTGACGCGGTTGGTGTGCACGGAAAAGAACGACATGAAATTGTGCAAGAATGTTCACGACACAAGGAGAACAAACATAGACCGTCGAAACCGCCTGGTTTTTGGAACATAGGCTTCTCTGATTCGGAAAAGTAGGATGCTTGAGAGAGAGAGAGAAAGTGAGAGAGAGAGAAAGAGAGAGAGAGAGAGAGAGAGAGAGAGAGAGAGAGAGAGAGAGAGAGAGAGAGAGAGAGAGAGACAAATGTAACGCATAACATTGTGTCACGTGCTGTATTTCATTCGTGCAGCCACTACAAGGTCTCGTTGCGGTGTCGTTATTATTCGAGCTCATCGTGTGCGCAAATATCGAAAGACAAACTACTGAGCGATGTAAGACTGACAATTAAAGATGTGGTCAACACTCTTGAAGTGGCTACAAAACGCTTGCATGCAGCCGAGGAAGTCTTTCAGAGCACGACTGCTGATTTGCATGCTATGCGACAAGAAATCGACTTGCACGAACGGCGTGTGAATGCGAGGGAAAATGAACTTCTGCATTACAAAACACAGACTGCTAATGCAAATCAGCCATGTGTTGATGGTTCTCATATGAAGAAGATGATGTCTGGCACATGGACTGTAAGGTGCAACAGTGAGGGTCGTTGCCTAGCATGTGGTCGCTACCCAACTGGGAGCACAACAATAGCTCTCCCATCTTCGGAAACGTTATGTCAGAGAAATGTTCCATCGCCCAGCACATCAATCCGATCAGTGAACTCAAAAAGAAAATTGTCATTTACAAACATTTGATGTCGCATTTGGGACCGGGAGAATGTGCAATATATGCGGGCTTCGTTTATTCGTAAAGTGATATATTTCACACACGTAATTACGTATCTCTCTCTCTCTCTCTCCCTCTCTCTCTATATATATCCTTTTTTTTTTTCAAAAAAAAAAAAAACACAAGAAAACGCACCTAACCACCTAAGCACCCAACCACCAACATAACCACCCACCCACCAACCCGCCAACCCACCACCCAACCACCCACCTACCCACCACCCAACCACCCAACCACCCAACCGACCAAGCAACCAACCCATCAAACCACCAAACCGTCCACCTAACCACCCAACCAACCAAGCAACCAGCGACACAACCACCCATCCATCCGCTCAACCACCCAACCAACCACCTAACCCAACCGCTCAACCACCTAACCCAACCACCTAACCACCCAACCAACCANAACCACCCATCCATCCGCTCAACCACCCAACCAACCACCTAACCCAACCGCTCAACCACCTAACCCAACCACCTAACCACCCAACCAACCAAGCAGCAAGCCACAGAACCACCCATCCATCCGCTCAACCACCCAACCAACCACGTAACCCAATTGCCCAACCACCAAACCACCCAACTAACCAACCAACGTACTACTGTTCGCAATTATTATTATTATGTTTTATTTTTTTTTGCAGCCGCGAGACTCGACTCATTGTGTCCGTCGCTTATCGTACACATTGTGTTGCCGTCATCCTTCGCAGTGTCATCGGCCAACCATTGAGACAGTTCATAATTGTCAGGTTCACTTATTCGACCTTGCGATATAACATGACCGACGTAGTTGTTGTTGTAAAAGAGGCTGTGGCTGGAAAGGAAATCGTCGTGAGAGAGACAGTGTGTGAGCGCGATACTGAAAACGAAAGAGACTTTGAACACTGGGAAGGGGTTGTCGCCACGAAAACACGTGTGTACTACGCGTTCATCGATGACACCCTCGCTTTAAGAGTCGTGGCGGGGCTGGGTTACGACGACCATGATCACCTTGATGAGGTTGTAATGCACGCAAAAAAACTTTCGGATGTCGTTCCCGACACCTGCAAACCCCCCGACTTCAATATGATTGGTCATTTGCTAAGATGCATCGTGTCAGTCGTTGCGGTCGAGCATGTGGAAAGGTTAGCACCCAACGCATAGTATTTCTCCAAATTCGACAGGCCGCTGCAACGCCGTACTTTTCTCCACGGAGATGTGCGCACTGTGTTGCCAATGGACGGCTACCGACAACAGTACAAGAGTGTCAACGAACCGTCATCCCGGTCGTCTCATGCTTAGTCCGAAACAGGTAGGTTGACTCACAAAATCGTAAAGGTTTAAAACATTCGACAGTGTTCGAGACCTCGACTACCCGCTCATCCCATATACATGTATAAAGTGTGTTCCCCATCCCCGTGTGGTGCGTGCAGAACATCATGTTTGCGTGATTTGTTGCTCGATCGTTAGGTTCATAACTTACGGTGGCCACGTACTTCAGCACCTTTGTTCTCAAAGCGGTCGACGGTGATTTGATGTATGATATCGTCTTCCCCCTTGTGCATCGCATACTATACACACACTACGGGACGGTCGCTCGGGACGGCGTCTGGCGCCTGCTCGTGTCACCGCCATATTTTGTCTCTGATGGCGAGGATTTCCCTGCCATGTTTTATCCTTGTGGTGCGATGCAGCGATGAGTATAATTCGTTTTTTTCTCCCTCTCTTTCTTCGTTGTTGGAGAGAGACAAAATGATGGTTTGAAATATTGTACGTTTTGTGTATACATATGCAATCGTGATCTCCCATGTGTTTGTTATATGTTTTGAGTTTTTTTTTTTCGCCTGCTATGCGTTGTGAAATTTGTTTTCGTTTTCGTTATGCGGAGGTACAGTACTAAGGTCATCGGTGCCCGTGATGTTGTGTTTTGTAGATTTCTACAAATTCACATATAAGCGACAGAACAATATTCACCCATTCCCATACATGGACCGCCGATGACGCAGGGTTGGCGTGCGGGCCGACGCAGTCGTGTTTGGAAATGGGACAGATACAGATCCTCTCCGTGACGAGGAGCTGACAGTCGCCGAGATTAGGAGTCGGTGGCCGGGACCTGCAGCGCTTTTGGAGGAGGCTGTGACTTTTGCTGGGCTGGAGGATCATCTGCAACAGTGCATGAATTTGCTTATTGGTCGTGTAAATCTCGAACCAAAGCAGAATCGTTACAATGTATATGTCGCTTTTTCTCGGTTGTGCGGTTCGTCGTTTTCCGATAGAGATTGCCAGACGAGTTCGAAACGGCAATGCGGGAACGATGGTCAGATACAATCATTCGAGGTTTTGAACTACGACAATGTGATCCTCCTGAAAACGAGCGCCCACGTCAACGTGCATGGCGGTAAATGCTTCACGACACGAGAGGTAGATAGATAGATAGATAGATAGATAGATAGATAGAGAGAAAGAGAGAGAGAGAGAGAGAGAGAGAGAGAGAGAGAGAGAGAGAGAGAGAGAGAGAGAGAGAGTATGCTTGCCTTCAGTGTGAGTACGTATGTAAGTCCGACTGTGTGTTTGTATGAAAACTGACATTTCCTATTGTCGTGACTTGCAGGGATTGCGTTATGTAAAATTTGGTTTCCCTGGTGTACATCATCTTCTTATTCTTATAATCCTCGATCTCTCATTTGAAGTTCATTTATTTCATTTTGCAATTGTATGTCATTGTACCATTAGATGTGTGAAAAAAACGATTATAATCCTCGCTCTCACCACTCAAGTTCAAAAAACTAACATAAGATACCATCAGATGTGTGGAAAAAAAAAAATAAAAAAAAATTATATAAATAAAAACATATGTATATATATATATATATATATATCATTTGGTTGTCTGAAAATGTTTTTCCGGCACTCACACACAGACAATCTCAAACACGCCCACACATGCACACATGGGGGAGGTCAGACAATGACGCTCACTCTCCGACACACTCCCAACAAACAATCACAATAAAGAACCTCAGCAAGATTCATATGATGCTGATGATGAACTAACTCGAACGAATATCATAACAGAGTTTGTTCCAGTCCCTTGCTTCCCAATCGATTTTCCTCAATCTACTAATAGAGTACATTAATCTAACCTACATCTATACCGGACTGACTAATCGACCAACACCATTGCAGTTTCGGCCTCTCGGCCTCTACCGAACCCGACTATAGGCTATAGAACCGTCTATAAGCTTAGGCCATTAGGGCTTGTCTGTCTTGGGCGTAGTCCGGGCCTGCTATTCGCAGCAAGGGTACGTATAGGAAAATCGAAACACTACTGGGCCTATATTCCTCATATTTACAGATATGACCCTCACGAATTTTCCTCACAGGTTCGTCTCACAATTAGCCCTTAGTCGAACAAAATTACAAATGTAAGCATACGGGGTAGTATACAGCCTCGCCAGAAGTGTTGGAAGTCAGACTGAGCAAAAATAGAGATATATATATACAAGTAAAGAGACGGACGTAATGTAGTGTAACAAACAACACACCATGAGATGTGTGTGAACAACGCAATGCACAATGAAATTCGGATCACCAGACCGATGTCAGGTCAACGATAAAACCATTCAACCAGTCAAACGCTGAACAACTCTATATCGTCACCCTCAGATTCGGAGTTCGATGTCTGGACCCAATCATCGCATGCAGGCACCACATCGTCCTCCACGTGACCGATGATGAAAACACGGTTCTCCCCCACCGCCGCATGGTCGGAATCCGAGGCAGCATCATCAACGACTTCCACTGGGTTTCCCCCACCGTTGACGAACAAATCACGTGGCAATGGTCCGGCTCGATAAGGACAAACCTCCTGCCGCAGAAGCTCTCGAGCCCAGTCTGAAACATGAGCCGAACCGAACACTGACGCCGCCAATCTGTCCTCCCAACAGTCGATCACCTCGTGACCGTAGCGTCGACGGAAGCCTAGTATCGCACATATGGAAGTGCCCGCAGCAATGCGAGCAACATACCCGACCGGGTCGCGCCAGCAGTGATTGTTCCACCGAATCACTGCGATCGACAAACATGCACAGAAAGACTTCTCGAAATGCACCGACTTCTTCACGTAGATAATGATGGTGCCCTGAAAAGTCTCCACCGCCGATGTGTGCCGAAACTCGACGTAGTACGGCGTGATGTTAGTGCTGCATTGTTTATTGAGAACACGCAGAACGAGTTCGTACACCGTGTCCGTGCGGCTATACAAAAGCAATCGTGCACGCCCACCGGCGTTCTCGCACAGAACCTCCCTACCGTTCACACATCCCGAATGATCACCAGCCCAATGATCGGCGACCAACATGATGTCGCGATGTAGACTGTCGGCGTCTCCACCCTCGTCCCTGTACAACTGGCAAGCGCGGAGGAACCACATCCCAACCTCATGCGCATGGTACTCTGTCAAGCCGTCTGGATCAGTCTCCAACGCTCGAGGATTCAACCTCGATCCGTAGGGGTACATCTTTCGCATGACGACAGCGACGAAGTCCGATTTCTTTAGCCGCTCCTCAGTAGGTCTGAGGATGTCAGGTCCGAAACGCTGCTCCAACGCCCCCTTTAGCCGCTTCTTCGCGAACTGCATGAACTGCGCCCCTGATACACAGTCGTGCGGGCTGCTCACTTTCTTCGTTTCCTTCAGTTGCAGCATACTGTGGAAGTGCTTTCAAATGTTTTTTATTTTGTGGTGGCAATCCTTCTGCCACTCGATGTTCATAGCTCGCAACTTCGGTCCCAGCGCCGCACAATCATCCAATACAACGCACCGGATCTTCAACCCCTTGTTCATAAGCCCTCGCAAAAGTTGCACGACGGCTGACACCTCAAGCGCATTCGATGCCTTGCCTTCAATCTTCGGACGGAGAGTGTGAACACCTACAACAAGCCGAGTCTCGTACTCCATCGTGGTGACAGTGCAATGTTGCGCGCCTCTGGCAGAGTCATGTCGACCATCAACCATCAATGTCACTGGCTCACCACGGCGCATCACAGTGTCAATGGCAAACTCGCAGTATTTTATGCCCTGTCGTACGACCTTCGCATTCCACCCCTCCGCCCCCCCCGGTTCTGTGCGCATAAACTTGTAGAATGTGGGTTTGTGCACCGAGCACATCCCTAAACAAACACAAAAGTTGTCGAGGAGCGTAAACGTAAGGCCGACAGTGACCGTCGCATGAAACAACTACAGCATCAGTCGCGACTGATAGACGTTCGTGGTCACGAGTGTCGTGTGCCACGTCCATTTGCATTTCTTGTCGCATACGAACGTCAGCTTACAGAGCTGCGTAGGATAGGAGACAAACTCTACAGACACACGGCACGAGCCCTTGTGCCATGGGCAATATAGATGAAACATGGCGAGCAATTGAAGAAGCTTAACCGGCTCCAGAAACACAACATCCGGCGCCGTCGGTCCACTCCATCTAGCCATCGCCTCCTCAACACTAGCACAGTCTTTTTCAGGCCCAGGACCGCACTGGTCAACACCGTCCCAACTATCCTACCACGTCTACGCCCGGGCAGGTATCGGTGTGCAACGACCCGCGCTGCGGAGTCTGCCGCGCCCTCTGTCACTGTGCTGCGATGCACGACGCGATGACGGGAACGAGTTATGCGATCCGTCATGAGACTCACCCAACCCTCCGCTCGCAGAACCCTGCGAACCCCCCGGACCGTAGTCAACACCGGAATCGCCTGGCATATAACGCAATGTGAAATCTCGACCGCACACCCGATATGGCAACGAAGAAGAAATCACACCTCCTACCTCGTCTCCAAACTCCGCTCGGATGGCTGGCAAGGACCAGTGCAGAAGCCGATCAATAACGTCGCTGACCGGTCCGCGTTGGTCACCCAGACCGGCCATAGCGTCGCGGAGAGCGTACAACCGTCTCCGACACGCGTCCCACACACACACTCGCACGATGCTGTTGTCGCCCGAACTCGGTGTGCCGCCGACTGCCGCTGACCTTTCCACATCGTCAAACGGAGGTGTGGAATCTGGAGCGACAAAGGGAGCCTGAGGCGGCACAACAAACGAACCCGCCGCCTCGTCCACGACTCATCAACGTGAAACTGGTGGAGAACACAAAGCGTCGCTGCGATCTTCTGGTAGAGAACCGCCTCCAGCGGGACATGGCGGGGCCACCTCATGTGACCATACAGGCGTTAAAGGAATCGTGGCCGCATAGTCCAGTCGTCAAGGCAGTAGTGGGGATGGCAGCAACGGAGCACTATACACATCTCCAAACGTAGCCGCGTCACGAAACCCGGCCACACCCGGCGGAGATGCCCCCAACACACCGGCGAAAGGCGAAATGGGTGTCACGCCCAGGCCAACGATGCTGTCAGTCGCATGCGAAACGGTGCCGCGACGCCGTTTCCCCAACCGGACCTTCGGGCCACCGCTGTGCGGTGAAACACCCAACAACCCCCGCGCTGCACATGGAGATCGATCGACGCTTTGGCGAGGATCGAGGTTCCCCTGCGGAGATCCCTCAATGGGCGATGATCGAGCGGGGACAACGTCTTCGCCTGTCGGTGACATTGTCAATGTCAGGTTCTGCACAACACCGAGAGTCAGGCAAGCACGAAGTAAGGAGTCAACGAAAATGTGTGTGTGTGTGTGTGTGTGTGTGTGTGTGTGTGTGTGTGTGTGTGTGTGTGTGT